ATTAGATAGATTAAAAAAATAAAATATAAATAAATTATTTATTGAATACTTAGTTTGACTTGAATTACACCCGGGAAGCACACGGGAACACCGTTGCAACGGATGTCTCACTGACACTTAAATGCGTAAAGTTCGTGTCAATGTGTGGAAAAAGGACAGTTAAAGTGTTTGCAGTTACGAGTAATTAAGTTGGAGATACGACTAATAATTTCGTTCTTTCCATCCTTTTAGGCATTGGAGTTGACGACATGTTCATCATGTTGGCTGCTTGGCGACAGACTGACGTCCGATGGTCAGTGGAACAGCGCATGCGCTATGCCTTCTCTGAGGCCGCCATGTCTATTACCATCACGTCCATCACAGATGCCCTGGCCTTCGGAATTGGAGCCATCACCTTCTTCAGATCCGTCCGCATATTCTGCATGTACACGGGCGTGGCTGTTATCTTTGACTACGCCTTTCAGATCACTTTCTTCGGCGCATGCATGGTGCTCACCGGCCGACGTGAGGCAGCTAACCGACATTGCATGTCGTGCCTCAAAGTCAAACCCAAAAGCGAATCCTCATCCACGGCCTACACCATATTCTGCGCTGGTGGTTCATCCCAGCAAGCTTCCGACAGGGACGAAGGTGATACCAATGACCATGCCCTCATGCTGTTCTTCAAAAATTACTACGGTCCTTTCATCACACGCTGGTGGATGGTGACCCTGACAATAGTACTGTTTCTAGCCTATCTGGGCACCGCTATCTACGGATGTACCCAGGTTCGAGAAGGTCTCGCTCTCAGAAACCTTGCCCGGGATAACTCTTACGCGGCTGAGTTCTTGGATGACGAGGGGCAGCACTTCACTACCTACGGTCCCCAGGTCTCTCTGATGCTCACTGAGCCCAGAGACGTGTGGAATCCCGTGGTGCAAGATCTCATGGAGGACACTTTGGCAAAGATGGAGGCGAGTGAATACACCTACAGCAAGGATCACAATCTGACTGTGTCATGGCTGCGCGACTACCTTGACTTTCTTCGGACCATCAACCTCATTAACCCAACCCAGGCGCAATTCATCGACACGCTGCGCGAGACATTCCTCAAGGTTCCCGCCTTCAAGAAGTACTCGATGGACGTTGTGTTCAACACTGACAACTCCAATATCGCGGCGTCGCGATTCTTTGTCACAACCAAAGACTTAGACTCCACCGAAAAGGAGCGATATATGATGACAGAGTTGAGGCAGATAGCCGAGGAGGCTGAGCTACCCACCATAGCCTACCACCCAGCCTTCATTTTCTTTGATCAGTATATCGCCATTTTGCCCAACACACTGCAGAATATGGGGATTGCCGTGGGCGCCATGTTGATCGTGGCCCTGTTGATGATCCCCAATCTCATCTGTTCTCTGCTGGTCACTCTCTCCCTAGCCTCCATCGTCACAGGGGTGGTGGGATTCATGTCTCTGTGGCAAGTGAACCTCGACTCTATCGCCATGACCAATCTCATTCTTTGCATAGGTTTCAGCGTGGACTTCTCCGCCCACATCAGCTATGCTTACATCTCTGCTAACACAGGCTCCCGTCGAAGCAACGTTGTACACAGCCTCTACTCTCTGGGCATGCCAATCGTTCAAGGGTCTCTCTCCACCATACTCGGTGTCGTAGTACTCGCCTTCACAGACTCTTACATCTTCCGCACCTTCTTCAAGACCATGTTCCTTGTGATCTCCCTGGGGGCGCTGCACGGCCTGCTCTTCTTACCGGTATTCCTCCTGCTCACGATTCCTGTGAAGACTCACCGAGGGAAAGACTCCAGCGAGAATCTGCGAGATGGTGGCGTGGCCAACAGCCCACACGGCAGTCCGGGGAAAGCGTTTGCCATTGGAGCGTATCCATCTACCGTCGACGGGGCCAATCGAACGCCCACCACCGCCTCATACTATCCCCATCGGTCACAGTCATTGCCATACAGCATGAATGCCAGTGTTGCGGACTCCGGGCCCTCCTTTGTCACCTGCCGACGGCAGCCTCCACCATTGCAAAACAGTAACCGTTGGCAGAACAGGGCTTTGTCCGAAGATTTTGCCATTCCAAGGGCTACGCCTAATTCAGCCTACAGCGCGAGGGAAGGTATTTACCATCCATAATCTTGCCCCAAAGCAGAAATGGCCACACTTTTAATTTGCACACAAGCACAAGGGATCTTTGTAGTAAAAATTTACTGGTCTAGCTTGCGTTGCGCAGTTTAACTTTGAAGGTTAAGGTGGGTTTGTACTACGGCAGAGCAGCACTCCCTTGAATCCAACCTGTGACGTTTAGGGCAAAATAACCATTTAAAAACTATACTTTGAAATAACTGAGGGTAAAAAGGTTTGCTGTAAGTTTCTGAAGTTATTGGTTTGGTAAGTTATTTTTCCATTCTGACGGCAAAGATTTTTTCTTTCTGTAAATATTATGGTTTTGTTCATACCTAGCGGAGACTCTTCACAGAAAACTATTGATGTTTGTCGCATTCTCCCCCATAGGATAACGTTGTTTTGAGAAATAAACAAAATTGCGCTAATTGGTAATTAACTTCGTCGCATTGTTTCTGTAACTTTGAAGAGGATGTGATTTTAGAATGGATAAAAAAATTGGTTTGAAATCTTTCAGTTGAAAAAGAAGTACCTACTGCTTTGTTTTACATTTTGGAAGACTTTGCACCAGTATGTAGCGTTTGCCGTACCATTAGAGTCAATTTATGTCAACTGTTCCGTTTGTAATCATAGCATTAAATGTTTAAAATAATTTATTGATGGGGACTTTGTCTTTCAGATGTCAGAAAGGATTTGGTCGAGTGTTACATTAGTATGATACTTTGGAAATTATGTATGGACGTTAAAGCCCAACTCCAACGATGCTAACTTTTCTCATATTGAATCCAATTCAGAAGAGCAAAGTCAAAAGTGGCACATATCAATATCTCCCTTGCAATAAACTTTTTCTTGTGTGTTTATAAAATACAATTTTTGTACCCATTTTTCACGTGAGTCTAGCCCGGTACTGTAAAAATGGACGTGTAGTCACGACTCATTAGCATCTAATGAATATTGATATTTGTGATGTATTCCAGTGGAAAGGACCACGTACGCTGTAGGCGCGCATAGCACGCGTAGCTGCGGACGACAGCACGAACTTGAATAACGTTCTTATTCTTCGGAAAGTCGAAGAAATTCAATCCTGGTTCTTTCGCAGAATTTCCTGCAGGCCTACACGATTTCAGCATTATTGTCAATCATGAGGAAAGGAGCATACTCTCAACTGAAAAGAGATAATGTGGCACAGTAGACCCGGCACACAAATCGATCGCCGGTACGCGGTGCACGCACATTTAGCTTCATGTTCATGTACATGTACGTTTGTAGCGGAACCAGTCGTGCCACAGATACCAGTTTCAATGTTTTCTCCGGTATCATACAAATTTTGTTTCTCAACAGCGCTGCGAGCGGTCAGAGAGTGGACATTTTTCATAAAGCTCGAATACACCGTTCAAACCTGTCGGCAAAATGACAAAAATACAGACGCAATACAGACATGATTTGGTAATGAATATACGGTTCATTACACACTAAACACAATACTTGTTTTATTTTCAAAACTTTTGAAACCGTTGAAGTTGGTCTTTAAGCAACAGTAGGTGCTCCGATAGCCCATCCTTTGATTCAAGGTAGTGATTGTTTAAGCTTTAGAATTACTCAGATTATTTTCTAAGCAAAGCTACATGTAAGTGTGATTTTGACTAAATAAATCAGTACAGTTGGATTCGGAAAACAATTTGCCACATATACTACTGCTGTGGGTAGAAGATCTCAAAAATTTTGACCAATCAACATTGATCTATTTAAATGTGTATATTTAAGCACTTAATGACTCTATGGTATAAACATGCAACTATTTATTTATGAAGACTTGTGTTTTGGGTTTTCTTTTTTGTTTGTTTAGTTTTAGAAAAATGGCTATTGATCTTTTTTCTGTTTGAACTCTGACGACGCCACTATCTTTACGGTTTTCTTTACATTTGAATAGTGGCATTTGAATTCTTGAAAGTAGACTACAGAGCAGTTGTAAATCAAAAACCATGTGCTGTCTTGGAAGTGAGAGAGAGGCCTCGTAGTTGAGAAAAAGCAAAAGAGTAATTATATTATTTTTCCTGTCAGGTTTAATGCGCATGCTACACAAGGTCAAGAATATATAGTGGGGAGAAAATAAATTACGGAATAGCTTTTCATCGATCCAGAGAATAAGCTTGATCCTGATAAATAGAATATATCTTTTTCAAAATCTTTGGCACAGAAGGTAAATAAATATTTTTGAGTTGTTAAATAAACGCTTATGTTTGAATTTGAATTGTTGCAATAGAGTTCCGAAGTGAATACGTGTGTAAAAGGCATGAGCGCGTGAACCAGCGCGTGAACCAACACTTGCCCGTACTCCATTCGTTTGAACTGCACTGTTTGGTTCAAAGTGACGTCACACTTCGGTACTCTATTTGTAATGACATTTTGTAATGAATTCACAGATTAATTTTTGGGATTGTATTGATTGCAGTGCTTTAACATCTCAACTTTTCAATCTAATGTTATTGAAAGAAATGAAAATAAACGGTGGAACAATAAAAATGCCCTTTTCTAACTTTATTCATTTGAACGGTTCACCGTATCTCAAATCGTAGCTTCTTTTAACGGTAATTCCATTAAAAATCAAACATTCCAGATGTCATTTGCTTGCATTTTCTTGTGTCTCCCATTAAAAAAAACAACAGTTATTGTATCTGCAGAATTCCCGCTTCTTAGAGAAGCAATTTACTAGGGGAGAGGGATTGCATGCACTGGAAAATGAACCTAGATTATTTACAGTTAAAAAATCTTGCTACTTAAAAATGTTTATTATCTGAAATATTGTTAATTTTTTTAAAAAATTACTTTTGTTTTGGCTATCCTTTTGGTGTTGCTGCCTGCATTTTTAAAATTCTTGCTTCGTGCATTTTTTAAATTCTAATATTTATGCACCAAAATTCCCCCGTTTTGAAATTGCAGTTCTCATTTGTGACTCGCTGTCCGATTTGAATGTCTTACTGCCTCCAAAAATAAAAAAAAAAACAGGAAAGGGTGGTGATATGCCTCTCTGCGAATTGAAACTCTTGAAAGGGTTTGGAATGTGCCAGTTTGGTGTTTCAACTCAAGAGCTATGTGAAGCGCATCGCATAGGTCATTCGAGAAAATCAACACGCACCTACGAGGACACACATTATCACCCTGGCCATGGGCTGACCATCACACTTAGAACATATACGAGCTGGTGAAACGTCAGGCGCATTGTTCTTGAATGACCTTGCCTTTGTAAAAATACTCAGGTGACTAATTGTGTTTGAGGAGGTTCTGGAAAAGTGAGCGCAAGAGCGGGGAAGTTAATCCCGATATTTGCGCCCTGAATATTGCAAGCCCTTTGCAATCATCGAGTGAAAGGTCATCTCCGCCAGTTAAACGTCTACCGACAACAGGGGGCGTTTTTCCTTCTGTTCGCTCTGAATCTGCAACGTTGAGAATAGTAAGTCCACAATTTCCCATATATAGACTTTGTAACAGCCCAGAAGAAAAGGGATGGCATTGTCTTATGTTTGACTATGCTGGTTCATATTCTTCTTTCCTGAAAGCAAAAGTTTGCATGTGATGAGAGCTGGTTTAGCATTGATGTTCCCTTCGGGATGCAAGATTTACGAGTAGAGTTTCAAACAACACCCAATAATCAACAACCACATATTTTTTAAATGTCTCACATGATGAACCATACTGCCAAACACAACTATCAACTATCCGCCACGAGTTGAAGTGCACCCCCAATCAGCGAAAAGAAAGACAGGTGGTTACGAGCGGGTTCTTGTTCTTGTTCGAGCGCAGTGCGTCAGTGTAAATACATAGACCATGCATGCCGGAGTAAAATTGAATTAGTTTCGCGTACTCAGCAAGCTCCGCGTCAAACACGCATAAACTTGCGCATCTCATTAGACACCTATGCGTTGAATACCAATAAAAACAAAACAAAATAAAACACGTCCTCTTTTGCTCCGCTCGGAGAGGATAGGTAAGTCTGATCACTATGATTATGGTCTTACCATTTTCTTCAACCGCTGTGTTACTTACTATCCGAGATTTCTTTTGGAGACACCGTTAGTTCACGGAAGGATGATGTCTGGGTCGGGGTTTCTACAGCTTCCACGGGTGGCAAGCTGCTATTGCCGGGGTCCTGCGTGGAGAGAGGTCCGGGCTCTGATGGCTCAGCGGAGTGTGTGATAATAACTTGGGCTGCTTGTTCAGCGGCCGGAGCAGTAGGGTCGGAGACGGAAGATTTTGGTGCGATAGCAAGTGGCGCTTCTCTGAAAATTCGGTGATTTCGTTTTATCAACACGTACCAACAAAGAAAATTTATTGAAACATCACCCCTCCCCCCAAAAAAATCAATGCAAGCCCAATGAAACTGCGATAAAATCTGCACTAAACGCTGTAAGTCTACACTTGATATTATTTTACGTTATTTACGTTACGAATCAGATTTCTCAAACAAATTGTACATACCTGTCATAAGTTTCGGGTTTGCGGCTCTTTGTGCCATCCATTTCTTTCTGTATTTGACAAAATGTTTTCAAACATTAACTGCATTGAGCCAAAAACGGTTTCACACTGAAGATGAATTTCAGAACATGTATCCCTTTATATTAGAAAGTGAGGATCCTCAAAATGATTGTGGCCTCTATCAACAATTGGAACAGATCTGGACTTTCAACCCTAACACTCCGAAATCCTCCGATTTCAATACGATTTTACATACACGCCGATTAGGGCTGTGCATAGGATTTGCAAGATCTCAAACACGGGACTGCCGAATTATCATGAAATTTCTTACTGTAAAGTAAGTACCAGTACATAATATTGTCAGACAATCCTTGAAATCTTACCGCCTGGAATGCTGTCATTTGCGAGAAAAGAAAATTTTTATTTTTTTCCCTTAGATCTTTGAAAAAAAAATCATTCAAATACAGCAACCATTAACGGGTGCAATGAAATGTGGGTGTCGCATTGAGCTGTTGCAAGAGTCTATATTAACAGGCAAGGTACATTACTGCCAACGCACCTTCGGTACGCCTAAACTCAGTATTAACTTATAAGATAAACATATAATCATAAAAGCCTAAAATATAATTTGGACTGGTTTCAAATTAGAGATTCTTTCTGAAACTGTAGAAGTTTACCTCAAGTGAATATATCACCGCGGTATCACCCCTTAAGATAACGGTATGATCCAAATGGCTGCTCAAAATTTCCAATTTCGAGACATTTAGCTTTCTGCTTTTCTAATCACAGTGACTCTTACACCCAACATGCAAGGATAGTCGCCACAGCATTGTCGACGCGGGTTTGTAGTGGCACTGACGGTGTGTGGACGGTTTTTGACCGACATAGGAGGCTATGTGTGAAGAGTGAACAGTCCGGTCCATCGTGCATGTACACATGTTGTACGGTACATCTATATTATACGTTTTGGTCACGCATTGACTGTGGTGATTGCAGTCAATTCACTGCACAATGACACGGTGCTTATTCGACTAATTTGCCAACCACTATTCCTACGCAAAGCCATGGAAAAAAGATGTATTTTGAGGGCCATAACTGATCTCCAGATCGACCTCGCCTGTGCACTGTCCAGGCACTCAGGAACGTCCTGTGGCCCATGGAGTTTTGCGAGACAAACTACACGAGCTGGGCTTTTAATGTTAAAAATGAACAGCGTTTTTCTCGATTTTCATCTCCGCAGTGAACTTAAAAATGAAACAGGTCGTTGAAATGATACAAAAAGTAAATCATAGACCCCCAAATTGGCAAACTTTGACAAATTGCAGTACATGCAAATCCTATACACCACCTTTAAATCCTCTTTGCCTTACCCCTCCTGTATTTGATGCCTTCCGCTCTCGCAGTTGCGGCTTTAACTTGTATGTTTGCACATCACGACAAGTAGACAGTTGGTGGAGCACCGCACCCGATGACTGGCTTTGCTGAACCTTTCTTTCCTCCATTCCTGACACAGCGCCGCTGCTCGCGGCTCCAATCTGGACATCACTGCGATGCCTCTCCGTGGTGTTCGTCTTGCTCCCACCGGCTTCTCCAGAAAACATCCTGCTCAGCCTCTCGATCACAGCAGAGATGATGCTCTTCGAGCGGTGGCTCGCTTTAGCCCCATGGCTACCCGAAGAATTAGAAGAATGTTCGCCAAATTGACCCCCCATAGGCGAATTTACTGGGGTCCTCATTTCGTCACACGCCTCTCCCGAGGCCACGGTTCCTTCCAGATTTTGTGTTTGGTCCGTGTTACTTTGTTCTATTTGCATACCCAGATCTCTGCTGTCTCTTGGCAGTTCTCCGGAGTGCTCTTCCTGGCGGCCCCCTTTTGAAACAGCACGGACTCCTTGGGTTTGTTGTGCTAAATCTGGTTGGATGCGTTGTTCTTGTTCAATTAACTGTTGTTGATCTGACAGAGGTCCTGAGATGGTAGGTGGTGGACAAGAAACAACCGTGCCGTGTAGCGCAGATGTAGTCTCTGGTTTGGTGCTGATTGTGACAAACGATCTGGTTGAAGGGGGTCTACTTTCAGCACGGCTGGCTGGAGATTGTCGCACCTCATCCCCCACAGAGCCTTGTGGTGATCTGACACTAAGCACTGCGCCTTTCCATTGACTCTGAACAGATTCACTGGATGCCTGTCTCGATACTGATTTATCTCTGGACAGCTGCTGCACTCTGTTTGAGGTGGAACTGGGACGGGATAGGGCGGAACCTTTGACTATGGCCTCTGAAGGTGAATTCCGTGATGACCTGCGAGGACCTATGGCTGTGGAAGCAGCGGGCGATACTTTGATGAGGCGCACAGAACGGCCTGATGCCCTATCTGACATCAGTTTCCCAACACTTGAGGACGACAACTTCCCCGACCGACGCCTGGCCCTGGACATAGACGGCGCCGGGCTGACCTTAATCAGGCGGACTGATCCAGTCGACGGTGGCTTAGTGACCTGGGATCGCCGATCAACGTTTGACACAGAGGAACCACAAGAAGGTTTGGCTGGAGATAATGGCTTCTCATTCCCCAAGATCGGCCTCTTAAAGCTGTGCACTGACAATTTCGTAGCACTAGGGTGGACTTTGGATGTGAGTGGCGAGGACGTACACACTCCTGGCTTGGGAGAAGCTGAAGTAGGTGACCTTTGTTGAAATTGACGACCCAAAGCAGCCGAAGATGACTTGGCTGGCCGTGATACTGTGCCCAACGAGTTAACATATGGCTTTAGTGTTCGACTCTTACCAGCATGCATCTCCTTGAGACTCGACTAGGAGAAAATAAGCAAAACGGCAGAAAATTTATTTAACAGACCACCATATCAGCAAAGCTTGTTTGCGCTTTGTAACGAGGAAGCTACGATAGTAATATATGTACCTACTATCTTTAAGCATAATTGACTATTGAGGATTGTACTGACCTCACTAGCTGTCTGAAACGATTTCTTGCTGTCTACTTTATTCTCGTCTGCAAAACTGGGTCTCTTTTGTACTGAAGATGGCTCTTTATCCTCTGTATCCTCTCTATCTTTGCCACCTTGAAACTGCATAGTTTCGGCACCAGTGAAGGGCGACGGACCTTGTGCTTCAACATGCAGTTCATGCAGTTCAGTGCATTTTGTTATTTCATCGTCGGCATTTACCGCTTCTTCTTCGCCGTCTTTTACAGCCTCTTTCTGCACGATTTCTGTAATATCGACAGTTGTTTGGTCTTCTGTCGTTTCTTGTTCTTTCTCTTTGTTTGAACTCTTTGGCTCTGATTTTTCTCTAGGCGGCTCAGAGTCAATCTCACCAGGTCTTTGAACAGTGTCATCCTCCGATCTCTCAGTAATTTCCTCTGTGCAGGGTTGAACTACTGAATCTTCTTCCTTCCTACTTTCCATGTCTTGAATTTGGTGTGGATCTACGCCCAGAGGCTTCAGTGCATCATCTTCGGGTGCAGAAGTGCTTCGTACACCTGTCTCTTTGCCATCACAAGGTTCATACTTTACGTCAGATTTGTCACCGGGATGTGTTTTGAGAACAGCTTTGCTCCAAGTGTCTGGTTTGGTGCTGCTCTGATCTCTGGATGGAGGCTGCCTGCCCGTGGCATCAGCGGCGTGGCTATCCGTTAACCCAGGATGGACTTTTGTTGAGTGCTTCCTTCCAAAGATGCTACTGATCCGGTCTATTACAGCTCCTATGACGCTGCGGGATGCGGGTACGTGACTGGACACACCCGCCTCTGTCGTACTTTTAGATTTCCCACCTAACTTAGACTGGATTTTGTTGGGAGAAAGATGGACACTTGCCTCTTGAGATCCAGTTTTGCTGTGAAGACTTTTAATTTCCTTCGATTTACCGCTTCGTATAGATCTAGTACTGGCACGAGACAAGGGGGCTGTATGTTCAATTTCCTCTTCATTGGGTGACCTAAAATCGCCACCTGCAGGGGTATCCCTGGCATCTGGTGATGCCTGTGGTAAGGCTGAACTGTCCGCTTCCACATATTCGCCCTCCTCCTCTGGTAATACGTCTTCCACAACTTCGTGAACCTATGAAAAATAACAGTCCAAATGTAGGGTCATTTTAGTTTAGGTTTTTGCATTGGTTCAGTTAGTTCAAAGAGAAACATTTCTAGGGAAAAGTGTAATATCGAGCTTACCCTGTATACTTTCCTTTGCGGCAAATAGCAGACTCCTTCAGCCTCTTCTTGTCCTACTAACTCCTCGTCTGAGTAATGGGCAGTGATGTCTTCATGGGGTTGCTCCAGGACGCTGTACATTTGATCATGCTCTCGATGGTGGGGGTGTGAAAGCTCCCTTATCAGTGTGTCTTTTAAACACTTTGCTGAACCTTGGCAGTGCGTCAAGTCTGGGCGGAACACGTTCCGGAAAGAGTTGCGAGAACTTGTCGAGTAGGCTGACGGTACCTTCTGTTGGCTGTCAGGCTTCATGGAGATGGCAGACAGGTTGTGGGAGATGATCTCCTCATCTAGATTGAGAGGATGACTGTGATAGACGGGGACAATGTTGCTGTAGTGATGCCTCGCTGCGTGAATCTGTTCCTGGGAATACTCGCCACTCTCTGCAACCTTATGGATAGATTTACTGCTGGCATCATGAACCAAATGACCTGAGCCATTTTTGTGCAACTCCTCAACAGAGAGGACCTTTTCAGTGACAGACTCGTGCGCCTTATCGTGAGGGATGACGGCCCCTTCAAAAACTGTCCTGTCGTGGCTTTTCTTCACGACGGAGGTTAGCCCCTCCACTCGAGACCCTTCAAGGCATTCAGCGAGAGAATGGACGCTTTCTTCCTTGGCAATAACCTCGTTCTCTATGACACCGATTATTTTGTCGTCTTCCTCCGGCTCTTCCTCTGAGTCGCTGCCTTCACTTTCACAGGCCCCTGAGTGGGGGTGGTGCTGGTGATGAGACAAATCGATCTCACTTTCTCGAAACACTTCATTAACAGCCTCTAGGAGGAGGCTGCTCCTGCGTGCACCAATGGGTTTCTCTTCACCATCATTTTCCTCGCTCATTTTAGTTGCTTCGTCGTCTATGAGTTGGTAGGAGGCGAGAGCTTCCCCAAACACGTGCATGACTACCGTTTGTGCTTGGCACGAAAGGCCATGTGACACCTAAAATCAGACAGAAAGTGCACTAAAGTACTAAAGAACTACGAACGGGGAATAAACTTAAAAGTTGCATGCTTATGCGAAATTATCTGGTAAATAATTGATTAAGAGAACACATACAACCTCACCTTCTCAAGACCATCATCCACACTGGTTGGCAGGACTGATGATGCTGCGGCATCTTGGGCACGTGAGGGTGAAAGTGGTTTGACGTCTTTGGTCGGTGATGGAGACTCCACATCAAGAGCTGTTCTTTTGATTATGTCAGAGGCTACAGCCCTCGTTTTGGCCCCCCTTTGAGTCAGTTCTGGAGATGTCTGGTTGACAGCACTCTTAGCAAGCTCCGGAGAGAAGGGGCTTGCAGAGTGCGGGCTGCGAGATTGGCACCTGCTACTGGCACGTTCCGTCCACAGTTGCTCCTTGGCCGTCTTCAGGGCTTCATCTACAGTTAACTGAGCCAATTTACTGCTACTCGTTCTATGAAGCTGTGCTCTCTCGCTAGTGAGCTGTGCTACTGCGTTTTGTAAAGCATCTATCGTGATTTCATGGGCAACGGTGCTGCTAAACGTTTGAGGGTTCTGCAGCAACTTTTCAACTCGAAGCTGAACTGCAGCGTTCTGTAGTGCTTCCCTCGTGACAATTTGTGCCAGCAAACTAGTGTCTGAATGAGGTGATGGCACTCTCCGTTCTAGCTGTTGCACTGCATTTGCCAGAGCATCATTAGTGACGGCTTGGGCCAAGAGACTACTGCTGGTGTGTGGCTGCAGAGCCTCGCACTCCTGCTGGAGCTGCCGCATGACCTTCTGGAGCGTGTCATTGGTGATGGCCTGGGCTAACAAGCTGCTGCTAGTGTGAGCAGGTGGATGGAATGCGTAGCCAATCTGCTCACCTTGAAGTCGTCTGGCCGCATTTTTCAAAGCGCCTGCAGTGAAAGCTTGTGCCAAGATGCTGCTGCTAGTTTGGGGTGGCTGTGCTCCGAGCTGTCGTATCACATTCTTCATGGCGTCAGCTGCAATAGCTTCTGCTATGATGCTGGAGCTGGACTGAGGGAGAAGCATCTGTAAATGTCTGGTGGCATCACGTATAGCTGTTGATGCTAACTCCTCACCCAGCACACTTGAGCTGGAATGCATGAGACGCCACTCTCTGAGCTGTTTAGCTGCATTGCTGATTGCATCTGATACGACTCTCTCTGCGATGAGGGTGATTCCCGATTCCATGAGCTCCTTCTGAAGTTCGCTGGTCACATTTGTGATGGCAGTCTGAACTACATCTTCCGCCAAAATGCTCGTGTCGGAGCGCTTCGATTCCTCCTCAAGCTCCAGAGAGACTTTTTCCGACAGTTCCTTCTGAAGTTGGCTGGTGACGTTCCTTATGGTGTCCCACACCACGTCCTCGGCAAGGACACGCGTTTCGGAGCGCTGAGCCTCTTCTTCAAGCTCTCGTGTGACCTTTCCAAGTGCCTCTGACACCAAGGCAGCCGCAAGGAGGCTGCTGCTAGTGCCTTTCGGGGACGGCTTCTCCTTTGGTCTTATGGATCCATCAGGCATGACGCCACTCTTGGCAATGGGACTAGGTGGGTGGAGTTCGCGCACGCTGGTTTGCTTACCGATACTGGGCCTTTTCGTTACAGCAGCTGCAAGCGTATCTGATACCGCCTCTCTCGTGGGCGTCACGCTCGGTAGGTGAGGCAATCCTCCTTCCGCTGCTATCTGCTCTCTTGCTCTTTTGAACATGTTTGACAGAACAAGGCGGGCCACCGTGCTGTTTGTCAGTTGAAGCACGCTCTTACGCCGCATGACATCAGGTAACTTAGTCTCTTTGGACACTGCCATCCCGGACTCGATAAAATCAAGTTCTTTCGAAACATGCTCCATTGACCGCTTCTCACTCTCAAGTGCATTGAAAACATTTTTGACGAGGTCTCGAGCAGAGGTGATAAATGAAGTGTAATGGTCCCCAAAGAGAGCAGCTAGCTCAATAGACGAATACACTTCAAACAGAGAGAAAAAGAAAAAAATGTTTGTAAGAATATTTTGCTAACTTCCGGTGAAAGGGAAAACTAAGGGACGATCAGATTTCTGGTGACAGAATTAACCCATTTTCGACCTCCAAAGTAAACAAACAAGCAAAAGAGTGCATTTTATTGTTAAAGTCGGAATGCAATTAATTAGACAAGACAAGGTGCAGAAAAGTCATTCACTTTCTTAAGCAATATCTCAGCATCACCCACACTGCAATCATGAAGACATGTGAATCAAATTTTGGACGATGCCTAAAAATCTAGAGAAAACGTGATTGTAACTTATACTTCGATCTTCCTGGATATCTGCGACAGATTCCTCTTCCTTTATCTTTTGTAAGATGCCTCTGCTAACTGTTTCAATCTCGGGGACTCTTTCCTTTGTTTCGATGGTAACGGTTGGTTCCAGGAATGTGGTCGGAGATACAGGTGCAGGAAACTCTGTCGGTTGAGCCGTCTAATCGAGGGGAGAAAAAAAAGGAGAACATGGGAGATACCGAGCAAACTTATAGTTGTACGTTTTTATGCGATCAATTTCTCGATTTTACATTTTGTAAAAATACATCTAAGATATTAAAAGCAAATGCTGCTATGTGATAAATGCGACCCTTCTGTCTCCAGCACCGAATCAATGTTTGATACCGAGTGATCGTCAGGTTTGATATCAGATTCGCTTGCACAAACTTGCCAGTGTTAAACAATTAAAAGATGTCGGATTGTTCAAATTTACTTTTGACAAACTGTACAGGAGACGTTGCTCGAGCTAATTATATCGTTCTCGAACGGCCTAACTTAGACAAAATAATTCAGACTTCTCACCGTAAGGTATCTGTCGTCCACGATCTTCCACACACCGTCGGCAGGCGATAGATCGACGCGGCCTAGTACGTGCTCGACCGGCCAGGTGCTATAGTGGCGCGGCCCTCCGAGTCCGTGGCGCGGTGGTCTGCGACGCCTACCACCTAACAAAATACAAGGGGATCGCTAAGGTGATGAAGAATCCAGTTCTCTCGTTATGAAGCCCTTTAGCTCTTTAAATGTAATCAAATCAGTGTTACATAATATGATACAAAGACATTATATTATATTTATATTGCATTGTTTATTTGAAATTCGAAAAAGGACTGTATTATTTTTCTTTATTTCGGTTTGGTTTAATGTTTGTATTAATGTCACGGACCGACTTGATTTAAGTCTAATCTTGGAATGTGTTATGAGTTTGGTAGCCATCCGAGTAGTCATAATAGTTCCCACCCTGTCATGCTTGTAACCAGTATTTAAAGAGCTCGGTGGGATATGAAATGGTCAGTTGTCTGTAACTAGTCATATTGCTTGACTTATACATGTATGAGGCTGGATTAGCTCAATGGTTATATTTCTACAAAACTTTGACACATTATTCTTGCGCAATGTACTTTGCCGTGGCGTACGTGCGATTCTCCCTCTCTCCGATCGAGTTGTGTTGGCACATAACATTTACTCAGAGGAGAGAGGCGGGTCCGCACAATGCCCTTGGGAAGTTATTGAAAGTTAGCGTGTAATGCCCTTGGGAAGTTATTGAAAGTTAGCGTGCAGTGCCCTTGGGAA